TGAAAGTGAAACGAGAACGAAAATTTTTAAAGTTTTAATGAAATGAACTACCTTTTCTTTTGGTCATTTATGCATGACATAGCATAATAATTTAATTCATATTAGATTATAATTATTCACTAAGTTGTACTTAATGTTGTAATGAATGTTTTTTTTTAGGAGAAGAAAAGTTCTAAGTGATATGTTTAATAGGAAAAACTTTATTTACATGAGGAGAACCATTGCTACTGATAGGTATAAGTTTATAATATGACTTTAATTTCTTTTATTGTTTACTTCTATTTAGAGACATTTTATATGTTGGTCTAAGATGTTGTGTTTTGATTATGATGCTTTTTGATTTTTAACATTTTTTTGTACTTTATGGATTAGTAACTCTTTTACATATTTTGGAAGTTTCCTAAATTTTTGAAAAGTAAAACGAAATGTTTAGGGTTTAGGGTTTAAAATGAAATGTTAATACCGTTCGACCGTAGTTTTCGCCTTAGTTAATTCTAAGTACCAGGTCGGGTCGTGACACCTAAATAGTTTTGCATTGAAAATTTGGAGAGATTATCTTTATGGTGTTCGATGTGAAGTCATCACTAGTGATAAGAGTTTACACTAGATTTTCACTCAGAAGGAGTTGAACCTAAGGCAAAGGCGATGGCTATAATTAATGAAGGACTACGATCTACAAATTCAGTATGCCTAGATAAGGCTAATGTAGTTGTATCTTCTTTGAACAGAAAATCATTGCATATGCAACGTGGATGATCATTTGAGAGCAACAATTAGCATTGTAGATGGAGCAACTTCAGCTTGACATGGTATCTTCAGGAGTCGATTCAGTCATGTATCACTTGTCAGTTCAGTCAACATTAATGGATTGAGTTCATGCAGCTTGGATGAAAAATGTAAACTTACTATAGCTTAGAAAGCATGCTTAGAATGGATTGAAACCTGAGTTCATTATTGATCAAGTAGACACATTTATATTTTAGGATTGGCTGTTTCCCAAATCAAGAAGTATTTCAATTGGAAATACTCTGCGAAGCATATTCAACTTCATATTATGCTTATCCAGGGAGTATCAATATATACCAAGATCTCAAGAAATTGTTCTGGTGACCTAATATAAAGGACAGTGTGGCGGATTTGTAACATAAAATTTATCGAACAAGCTTGCAAGTCGTGAGAATGTCACGGTGGATGTTTCGTTTCCGATATGCATGATGGTTGTTGATTGCGAGCGAGACGCAGATGTGAGTATTGGGACTTGGGAGGCATTAAGATTAATAATTAAAAAAAAAATTGAGGATCGTATCACTTACACTTAGGTAAGAGTATAGTGCCATGCCAAAGATGGCTAGCAGTATCCTTACTATGTTCTTAGTAGTAATCGATTCATGGGGAATGGTGTGGCCAAAAGAGAGCACAAGGTAGATCTTGAAGCGACTGAGCTCTCAATACGTAACTGATGATATTCTTCTATTAACTAAATAATAAAAATATGAGTGTAAGGATATGCATGCAATGAATAACAAAAGAAGCAAGGAGAATAACAAATAGATTTATGTGGAAAGCCTTGTCCTAGAAAAATCACAAACAGTTGAGAAAGAAAATTCACCCGGGTCAAAAAATATTATAAAGTGAAGAGTTTAAGGTTATATATATATATATATATAATATATATATATATATATATATATATATATATGCATGCAAAAAGATTAATAAAGTTAATTAAATGTAACTATTAATAAAGTATTAAATTAAGAGTAAATAAATAAATAAATCATAAGATAAATCACAAATTATTTCTTTGAAGGACAATTTTGACTCATTTTAAATTTTCATTTGTTATTTTGACCCCCAATTATTGATTTAAGGTAAAATGACACTTTTGTAATGTGGTATCACTCAATTACCACATATCACCTACCACCCACTTACCGCTCACTTATCTCCCACCTACCACTCTCTTACTTCTATAGATAGAGAGAGTGTGAGGCTTAGGAGTACAAGGGAAGAGATCTTAAGCTACCACAAAGGAGGAGAGAATAGCTAGAGAGCTAGAGAGCTAGAGAGGAGGAGAACATCTTCAGGTCTTGTATCAAGGTGTCGCTTGAGAGGGAGACCATAGAAGGAAGATGAGGGCTCATCTCTATGTATAAGCTATGTATTCTCCATTTCTTTTGCCTTAGTGAACTATTTGATTGATTCCCTCCCGTGGACGTAGATCCAGTTTGATCGAACCATATAAACAATCTGTGTTTGTTTGTGTTCTTTGTGTTTCATTTCCTATGTCAGGAAGTATATATCTCACAACAATTGGTGTCGTCTGTGGGAAGATCCATACTTCTTGGCTAGAGGTGTCCGCGTAAAGGTGTTTGCGGCCAGCGACGAAAAAGAGGAGTTCGACATTCACGAACAGAGGAGCAAGCAGATCACGTCGCAGGCAGTCAAATCGTGATAGATTTGATGAGCAGTGCAAGCTTTGATCGACTGGATTCACACCGCAGGTTGTGCAGACGGAGGAGGAACAGTCTGCGAGCAAGGGCCGAAAATTTGCGACAGGGCTGCCAGCAGAGGATTTCAAAGCAGTAGTTCGGTCTTGCGAGCAGCTCGGCCAAAGAGAAGAGGCGGAGATCGCGCAGAGAAGGGTTCGGGGAGTTCCCTGTTCGGGAGTTCGCGAAGCAGGAGGACCTGAGCAGTTT